ACCGGAATCGTATTTACAACTTATCAATGAATTTGTTGAACAGCGAAACGCGCGAATGCAACAGACGTTGGGGAAGAGCAGGCAGTTTACTGTCGAGGAAGTACAAGCGTACAGCCCCTTTGAGACGAATGACGTGTCAGTCGAAGAGCTCAAGGCCTCCGTTAACCTGGAAGGAGAAGATCCTCAAGATGTGTTGCAGTTTGTCAATGTTGTACCTGTTATTGAGCTACCGGAGGAACAGCCCGCATTGGACGAGCCGATGGATGACGTTGCGACAGCCGACGTAAAAGTCGAGCCGAAGGTTGAGGAAACCGACGCGGACGTTGAGATGCCCGATAGCTATACAGGCGCAACCGACGAAGTACCTGGGCCTGATACTGGTATCGCAGGCGTAAATGCCTTGCCGACAGCACCAGAACCTGATCCACAGATGGCGAAGATCGAGGCCGAGGTTCTTGATGTTTTGGCTGATGATGAAACGACTGTTGAAGAAGGTGCAACCGGAGATGTTCCTATGATCCCTACGGACGCGGACCAACCCGCAGAGGGTCAAGCGTCTTCATCTGACCCGAGACCACCATTGCCGCGATTGCGAGGCAAAGGGCAGGGACAAGGCACCCCTTCGGTCGCTCCCGTAACGGGGAGCTTTCTTGCACCTGAGAACAACGACAACCCCGACTTGAAATTTTCTGGAAAAGGGAAGGGCGTTCTCGTTCGCGAGACGAAGCCTAACCCCGAGTACAAAAATATGCAGGTCGAGGTTGAAGAGGTTCTCGGAAGGTATCCTTACCCGGATCACCTACTCAAGGCCATCGGGAATGGCAACATCCAACTCCTCGAGGATGAGCTGGGCCGCGACGCCAAGCAGTACGTGCTGTACCACGTTACTGGCCATAGGTGTTATTATGTATATGAGGATTATCATCATGGGCCTTGGGAGTGGTGCTGCTCCTGGCCATATCATGTTCGTCGCGGTATTTCTGGTCTTCTTCGTGGACACGTCCCAGACGTCAGTATTTATGATCCGGCGTGTTATTTGCTAATTTACAAACTACTAGATTTGGCGAAGGCCAAATTCCCTGATTATGCTGATTCTATGAATGTTTTTGAGTTGATTTCGATGGCTATTTATGACAACAAAGATCGTTTCGAATTTCAATGCGTGTACGACTCTCGTGTGAACGAGCAGCTCGAACTTTTCGCCGCCCCCGTCAAGATCCGATGTGGACAAGGCCACACTGACGACGTTCTCGAGACGCGATCAAATGAAGTGCTAGCAGTACTAATCTACTGCCGTCCTGACCATGTACACAGGTACAATGCTCGTTTGACAGCGCACGGGAACCGCGATATACCACCTCGGCTTTACCACCGAACGCATGAAGGTGCTGCGCGATCCATTATTGCGAGCGGGCTCATTCCCGGCGGTGGAGCCGGTGGACCGAAAAGCAAAGGCAATTCCTTCTTTTCAACACAACCTCTGGGAAACCAGAAGGCGATATCTGGTGTTCGTGCTGACCGACCAGTGGAGATTTGTTTTTCAACACCGGATGTGATTGAAGCAGGAGTTGATCTTTTCCTCACAAATTCTGGCGCGGTGATTACCAGCCATCACGTTCCGAATACGTGTATTCTATTTGCAACTCTAGCCCGCGCAAATGCGGAGCCAGAAGTTTTCTATTCGAGGCCGCAGGCATTGGATCCTTCGAACATTGAGATCGGTGTTCCGCAAGATGATGTGACATTGGTCCCGGGAAAAGTGTCGGAAGTACGCACCATTTTGGAAGGTACAAGCGACGCCACTCCCGAAGAACGCACAGCTAGCAGCAGTGCCGCAAAGAAGGAAGAGATGGAGGCAAATCGCAATACAGCTGTACCACAGATCGAGAGTGGATATTTTCTACATCTTCGAACTTTCAGCTGCGATAAATGTACGACACTTTCCTTAGCAGGAATGGCATCTTGTCATCGATGCGGAGTAGTATTTCAGAGCAATACAACAGATGGACCGATTTCAAAGTTTATGCGACTTCAGATGAGGCGTGCAAAGGTGCTACAAGAGCAGGGGGGCGTGCCCAAGAACATGACCGCAACAAGCATGCTTGACAGCATTGCCGCGCAGGACCTACAGTCTGGACGACCTCCAGCTCGTGGCAGCCCGTCAGTTGACAGTCAGATTATTCTTGCAGCTCGCAGTCGCCTTCGCAAAGCATTGAAATCAGGGTATGAGAATGTATTCGATCGATTCAACCGCGACGACGTCTTCGCCACCTCCTTAACCGGAGAAGGATGCACAGCGTTTGATGCAGCGCAAGAAGACTTGTTTGCGTCACTGCAATTACCGGCGCCCACGAGATCAGCGAAGCAGAGATCAAAAGGGAAGTCGGTTGTCAGTGATTTGGATCGACTGGACAGGGTTGACCTCGCCAAGCTCGCGTATATTCGATGCGGTGTTGACAACCTACATACCTGTTTCAAGCAAGGCGTCGACGAGGACTTTCTGATCAGTTATCGCCGAGAGTTTATGTCACTCCGACAATACGCCGCCGTAATTGGCGATAGCCGAGATGAGATCAAGATCCAGGGCTTTATCCCCACGACGGACGTCTATGGCGATATTCATTCAATTCGTATTCCTCGTGGAGACACGACAGGCACTTACAAGATTTTGAGTGAGTTTGCAGAGCAGAATGAAAGTTATGCAAACATTCAATATCAGAGAAACGCGCAACAGTCTGCAAATATGCAGGGACGCGATCGTGGACAGCCAGTTTCACAGATGGGCTTCATGAACATCGAACAGCGCATGGCCACGCCTTATCCCAAGTTTGCCGATTGTGGCCAGGACATGTCATCTGACGAAGTCAGAAGGTTGGAAGAACTTTTGTTGGAGTTTGGACAGCGTGGATCCCCATCTCCTCAAGGACCTGTAACAAGGCCCCCGTTGACGCGGAAGCGATCGCAGATGTATATGGAGACTATTGGAGATGCAGACAAACGACCGAGGCTGCAGTGGAGGAGGAAAGAAGACCGAGATCAATCTGGTCGTATTGCAACTTGGGTTGACAACCGGACTCCACCGCCAGGCGTGCCTCAGCCGCCAGCTCCCGTAACAGGGACGCATACCTCGTCGGTATTCAGTATGAATGCACCTCCTGCTCAAGGACAAGTATCAGGCAAAGGAGACTCCCATAAACGGGATGCCAGTGTGCGAGGAGATGTTGCCGGTAAGGGCAAAGGGCAAGGCAGTTCTTCTGCGTCAGGTTCCACTGCTCCCGCAAAAGGGACGCCACGTGGTTCAGTTGCCCGTGCAATATCTCGCAGCCGTGAAGACCTTCCACCTAAGCGTGGCAACATTCCCAAGGACCTTTTGGGTCCTCCACTTCGCACTCCACCATCCACTCCTGCAAAACCGTCAATCCCAAAGCCTCCTTCCAATCCACCGTCAGTACCGGTGAAAGAGGCCCCAGCATCACCACCTCCACCACCTGCACCAAATGATGCACCAACGGCCGGCTTATCCCCGGCTTCAAAACCACGTCCAGCAAAACCTTCACCTCCGAAGGTCCCACCAACAAAGGTGCCTCCTCCAAAGGTTCCTCCACCGAAAGTGCCACCCAATACAGCCAGTGGCATTCCGGTACATACAAGGCCGACAGATTTCAATCTCACGCCGAAGCCGCCGCCGCTTACAGACCTTTACAGTCGGTTGCAACCTTCCGTAAAAGGAAAGGGCAAGGATAAGCAGCAGGTGAGTGTTCGAGGAGGACCTTATGCTCCACAGCAATGGAATGTACAAAACGTGCCACCGCCGCCATTGCCACCCGGAACTTCATCCGCTTCGGCATCATCGTCACATAATGCACCCTTAACTGGACCGCCGACTTCCAGCATTCGTGGAACTATTGATCGACCATTGGAACCCTTTGATTTTCCTGGAGTACAATGGCAACGCGATGACCCATGTGGCGAGAACTATTGGCCCAATCACATGGAATTGTGGGAGTGGTTGAGGCAGGGATGGCATGACGAGACGGAGCGTTTTGGAATACAATTTCTTTAAGCAGATGTTGAATAGCTACCATAAATGGTATGCCTTGCAGCTTATGAGTGTTGAGATAAAGATCACCTTCTGACGCGCTGTGAGATGATGTTTCACTTCATTGTCTCACTTCCCAATGCATCCATAACAGGATTGCCATAGTCGGAGAGTGAACTTTTAATCAATGCTTAACACTAACCTGGGCCTAGCATGTTTAACCACATGCCGAGTGAGGCGAAAACTGTACATTAGGGTAGCTACGTTCTCCTTGTATAGTGTATGCACGAGCTTGATGAGGGATTTCTAATATGATTCCTTCGTCGCTAGAATTTGATCCTCCCCGAGATTTTCCCTACGGGTAGCTCCTTGTAAAGGGGGGTGTTGAAATTCACCTCATCCCCATGGACCCCGTAGCGTTGACTCTCAAGGTAGAGCAAAAGGTAGCGCTTACCGGGCTAGCAGGGTTAGCTAGGTAGTTAGTACTATTAGAGCTGATCCTGTAAAATACAGTATCATAACCCACACTGGTTCTACAAAGAGGGTGTCAAGTGTAAAGCATGACAGCCACATCTCCAGTGCCGGGTGAGCATCGCACTTCCCCGATCTTCCCCGGGTGAGATCGCTTCGCTTCCGGGAGTTGCCTCTCACCATCGGATGCTTTGGTTTTCGCTGGTGCTGCTCCGGAAAGACGGATAAGACTGATAAGACTGATAGTAAGGAACAAGGTGAACAAGGTGCATGGCTACTCATCGCTATCAGGTTGGAGGCCATCGCTAGTAGGTTGGAGGCCAACCTTAGTAGGTTGGAGGCCATTGCTACTAGTAGCTAGAAGCTACTAGCAGCTATTTAACTACTAGTAGTACAGTACCGTCTTGGGCGATCCATTTGGCCCACCGCCGTCGCCCACCTGGTCGCGGGACGACCTGTCGAGCAAGAAGAGCGGCGAGCGTCGCAGCAGGTGATGTGGTGATTCTCAACATGGCGGGCGTGCAGCTGGCTCGGCTACCCATTGAGGCCCATTTTCTTTGGGGGGGCTTGTTTGCTGTTCGGACCTGAGCTAGTACCTGAGTTCGGAGTGGCAGGGTTCTTCATAAGGCTAAGATGGCATCACAAGGATTCGAATCCCTGGGCCTTTGGACGTCGCTTGCATCGCTTGCAGACCAGGTGTTTTAGGGATTTGCCAGGGAAAAACCTCGTCGTAGAAGGAAGGATCCTCGTCGCATCCCAAGCAAACGCAGTAGCAAGGAGCGGAAGAAGAGAACATCCCCTAGCTTCAGAGTCTGAAGGCGCCATATGGCACCAGAAACTTTGCCATTACATCTACTATACTACTACAGTAGTAGGATGCTCTCCAAGGCCACATTCAGCAGATCTTATGCCCATGAGTCCATGAGCCTTTCAGCATCGCAAGACCATGGGCATCGTACCCGGCTTCTTCGACGAAACACCGAACGACGCAGCGAACGACGCGAAAGACGTGGGACGAAGCCAGGACTTTGAAACGGTTCGGGACCTGAAGCTGCTCCTCCACCAGCGCCTGCATGTGCCGCCCCTGCGCCAGCGCTTGGTGAGGGCCGAAGGTTACGGTGGGACAGCCGAGGAGGCTGAGGTGACCGAGGAGACAAGCCAAGTGCCCAAGCAGATCAGCTTGGTGGTGTTGGACTATCAGCATCTCTGGCATTTTGACAAGGTGTTGTTTGATGTGTCTTTTTAAACATATTTATGTTGACCACATCTAGTTAGGCCTAGTCCAAAAGAATTCAGGCCTTTTTGGATGTGGCATCCGTGAAGTGAATGCTTCATGCATGCCGCAAATTGCTGCATGCACCCAGCCTGCACGCCTGGTGCCAGCAAATTGAGTGTATCATAGTGTATCAACTTTGCATGGTTTGGCGATTCCCTGTTCTTGACTTTGCGCCATTTCTTTGAGTGTTTTTGTCTTTTCCAGGCAAGACCTGACAGTTCACTTGCTCAATGCTGCAGAGGAGGGCGACGGCCAGAAGGACTTCCGATGCGGCGTTTTTGACTTCGCGGCCGATCCTTTCGAGATGAAGTGTAGTTGGATTTTCAGCTACAGTACATAGACGCAAATGACGTCTGAGAAGTGGGTTTCTTTGCAGGCACTTGCGCCCCAAATCAACGAACATCGCAACGCTGCTGACTGCGGACTGCGGCCCATTTAACTCATCTTCCGAACTGGAGCACACTCCCAGACCCTTCGACCCCCCTTTTTCATCCTTTTTCGCCGCTGGCCGTTCCCAGCGCCTTCGGCGCGCCAGGCGCAGCGCTTGCTGAAGCAGCTGGCCGATCCAAATGGATCGGAGGGAGAGGGATGGACTCCACTGCACATTGCGGCCATCAACGGGAATGTGGAGACTCCACTCGAGCGGAGTGGGATGGATGGGAATTGGAGAGAGTGAAGCGAAGGTGAAGAGACCATGCCACAAGGGACCTATGGACTCCCTTGGATAGACAGTGATCGAGTAATTGGATTCCAATCGCTTCTGATGGGTTTTGGTGTAGTCCATCAACTCCCTAAGTGGACTGGCAAAACGCCTTCCCAAGCATTTCTTCTTGTGCCTCAGCCATGTTGCAAGAACTGGTTGATTGAAATGATGAACCACATTCACATTACAAAATAGTCGTTTCAGAAAAACAATTGCTGAGCTGACTCCATTTGCAATGGCCAAGCTTCTTGAAGATTTCACCCATTTTCCAAGGACGTCTGCCGGAGCTTGATGGAAGCTCTAGCTGAGCTCACTCGCACGAACTCAGATGGATCCACCGCATTGCACGTGGCGGCCTGGAGTGGCCAGCTACAGATGTCCCTTGGGCGAAGGGATGGGTGGAAGGTTTCAGGGAAAAGAACCACCACCTTAAGAGGGGATTTTGGTCTCAATCAGGCAATGTGGATCCGAATGGCGCCAGAGAAGGGGCTGCTTTTGTTCAAGTTGCCATGTATAGCCCAGAGTGATATAGTCCTTCCGTTTGTGGTGATTGGCGTGTGGACAAGATGGCAGATCAAAGGCCAAAAAAGAATCGGCATGGGTTATTGCACAATGGACTGCTCATGAAAACCAGGGTCACCCTATTAGTGATAGCCTCCGACCTGGTATAGCGATGGCCTCCAACCTCATAGCGATGGCATCATAGCCTCCAGCCTATTAGATGGCCTCCAACCTAGTATAGCGATGGCCTCCAACCTCATAGCGATGG